CAGGCAATTAGAGACAGACATGGTAATCATGTCATACATTGCCAGGTCAAGTAGTCCATTCACTCTAGTAGATGAACCATGCTTCAAAGAAATGGTGGAACATTTAAATCCAAAAGTAATTGTGAAACATTCCTCGACTTTTTCAAGGTACAAGCTGCCATTGCTTTATGAAAGCGTTATGGATACTGTGCAAAACCTAATTGAAAAAGAAGTTTCCACTTGTCATCAGGTGGCTATCACCACTGATGGTTGGACCTCTAGGTCACAGGATCCATACATGACTCTTACGCTTTCAGTTTGAACTGAAAAAATATGTTCTCAACTTTGACAATTTCGTGGGAAGACACACTGGTTACCACATTAGCAAAGTAATTTTTCTTATGTTGATATAATTTGTTCTCGTAAATATAAATTTGTAAGTGCAAAAATAATTTAAAAAAGTAAAACTTATCCTTCCGCTAGAATAGCGTTTCTTCTAGGATTTTGTCAATTATTGAAAGAATTTATAATTTATTGTAAAACCTAAAATCTGCATAAGTTATCTTATAAATCATTAATTTTTCTTCATTCTTGTTTAAAGCTCTGGAAGAAATGATCCAAAAATATCCGGTATTGGACGCCGTGCCCAAGAAAGTCATTGTCCACGATGCGGCGGCAAACATGAAACATGCTGTGTCAATCATGAACAAAACAAAATATGAATCACTGTTGTGTGCAGACCACCTACTAAACACTAGCCTACTACATGCTACCAATGAAGTGCAAGAAGTCAAAGAATGCATAGATATTGCCACACAATTATCTAGCAAAGTCCACAGATCCACCTTAGCTTGTCAACTTATTGAAAAAGAGTGTATGTTGCTCCGTGTAAACTATGTTAAAATCATTGCTCCGGTAAAAACCAGGTGGAATTCTAACTGTTTTATGCTGGAGTCAATCCTTAAACTTAAAGATGTGTTGATTTCTCTTAGAGAAAAAGATGCACTAAATAACAACCCACTACAGAACGTTATTCCAAGTGACAACCAATTTTCACTGATGGCTTCACTGATGCCAGTCTTAAAAAAAATGAAGATTATGTCAGATTGCATGTCCAAGGACACTGAACCAGTGCTTCATCATATGCTAACTATGCTTTATAAAACTGACAATTTTCTTCATGACCACATTGATATGGAAAACAGAGAAATAGTTAATGCTTTTTGTAAAAAACTAAGTGAGCATTTACACCTAGCCACGCGATTCAATGAACATGGAAGATACAACCAACACTATGCCTTGGGAAACCTTCTTCATCCGTACTTTAGAGGTTATAAGTTTTATTTCTTGGTAAAAAAAACATTCTTTAATATTCTTTATTTGTTAGAAGACTAAATTTAACAGTTATTGTTTATGATTTCAGGATATATGCTTAGACATTACGGTATCTTCGAAGAGTTCACCAGAAAAGTCATCAACGATCATCCATCGTCGGACGCTGTTTCGATCAGTGAAAAAAATAATCATAAAGCTACACAAGTTAAAATGCCAGTTGGTGTGGATGAGTGCGACGATTTACAAAATATAGAGATTGAACAGGGTAATAATAACCACACCATTAGTCAAAATGTACCGGAAATTGAAAGGGAGTTTGAATCTTTCCACGCTATGCCTCGTGTTGAAGAAAAGCATAAAGTTGATGTGCTGAAATGGTGGAAGAAACATGCCTCTACTTTGCCATTGTTAGCACAATTGGCAAGAAATTTGCTCTGCATTCCAGCTGCATCAAGCTGTAGTGAGAGAGTGTTCAGCGCCAGCGGTGGAATTATAAATGATAAAAGACACAGTCTTTCCACTCAGACAGCAAAGCAATTGACTTTGATTAAAGTCAATTATGATCTTGTCTGTCCTCACATGACCTTGAAAATTATAAGCGACGCTGAAGAAGCCCTGGACCCCCCAGCATTAACTCCAGTTAGAACACCTCCCAAAAATCCTATTCCTAAAGCAGTTTTTTCAAATAACCAAAAAAGGTTATTGTTCAAAACAAAAAACGTTTCAACAACGCCATTATGTTCTTCTTCTTTACCATCAACACCAACATCTTCAGGAATCAAAAGAAAAACAATGGAAATTCCAGAAGAATCCGAAACAACATCATCCGAAAAAACATCCAAAAGTGACACTCAACAAGTATTAAAATAAAAATGTTTTACTTTTTATTGTGAAATTTTAAAATCGTAAAATATAATTGTCTAAATAAAAACTGATTTTTCGTAAAAATCGCAAATGTGTGCTTAAATTTGTACAATATAAAAGTAAATTACTTTTTTATTTTATGCTAGCCCTATCTGTCGTAAAAACATTAGTATTTCTCATAAAACTCAGAAATTTCTTGTTTGTTTGTTTCGTTTTTTACCGTTTTATTTCGGAAAAAGTTTAATCTTATTTCGTTTCGTACCGGTTTTTTCAAAACAAAAAACGTATTTATCACGAAACAAGAAAATTGTATTTCTTTTCGTACCGTATTTTGGGAAAAAAGATAAAAATTGTTTCATTTCGTAACGGTTTTATCGAAACAATATTTTTCATCGTTTTGTTTCGTTTCGTCTTGTACCGTTCTGAGACGCAGACCCTTACTGATGATACCTATCTTTTATATATCAACAAATCACTTATGACTCTTTGTAAAAAAGTTAATCAAGATCTTCATCGCTTATATAGCTGGTTAAATAGTAATCGTATTTCATTGAATGTCAATAAAACTGAATACATTACTTTTCATTCCCCTAAAAAAACTATTGATAATATTAAATTAATTATAATACTCCAAGATTAATATTGATAACATTAATCTTGGAGTATATCTTGATGAAAACCGTGGTATAATCAACTGTATCATTAAAAAAAAAATTTACACAAGCTAACAATATACTTCCTCTATTTTGTTACTATGTTCCTATCCAAACTCTTCGAAAGATTTATTCTTCTTTATTTTCTTCTCACCTTTGCTACTGTTGTATTGTTTGGGGTCAAAAAAGTAACTTTTTACTTAATAGCATTGCTATCAATCATCACACCAGAAATACAGAAATTAGTAAGCTATACTCTTCTTTTTTTAACACAATTAAGTATGGTAAGTTTTCCATAAAACAACAATTTATTTTCCAATGGAATCAGTGTATTCCTGCATTAATAAAAAAGTCTAAAAAAAAATATCCCCTAGTTACGGATTATTTACTGCTCAACAGAATTCCATTTAATATATTGTTGGAGTATATTTCTTTATAATTTCTCACTGCACTGAAGTTGTCTTCTGGAGAATTGTTTTGCTGATATCAGAAGCACCTAAGGGTGAATGTGGAGAAACTGAGCACTGACTAGGATTAGAAACAAGACTTAAGTCAAGTAGAGAAGACAAATGATTTGGGTTGTCTGGAAAGCGAGTTGGAAAATTGACTATTTGAGTTAGGGATTGAGCAAGACAAAAGTTGTGGGCTTTAACGCCTGCAGAGTCACTGACACTAGAGCCAAGCTATTCATTGTGATGAGCATTTAAGTCACCAACAACAACAATATTGGCTGATGGATAAAGAGAGAGGGCTTGGTCAACTTGATCAGAAATAACATCAAAAAGATGATTTTTTTATTAGACTTAACAATATTGTTTTTTATAAGACTGATTTTTATATTGATTTGTAAATATTTACGCTTTGTAAGCATTTAGCCACAAAATATAAAGTTTTTAAATTGAAAGATGTAGCTAAGCCCTCTCCTAGCCATCTTTAGTATACTTTTAATATATCTACATTTCTCTCTCTAAGATCTTTACTTTGATCCCAACAGGGTTGGGATGTAATGAAATACATTTACTTTGTTACAATACTTTCTTACTTTTTGCAGTACTTCTACGTGTAAAGAGTTAAATTTAAAATGCAGTAGCTTTACTTTTATTTTTGTTACTTATCAGGTTTACTTTTTTACTTTGTAACAAGTTACTTTCAGTAAAAAAGTACAAAATTACTTGAACTTGAACCATGCATCAAGACAAACCTGCATATAGAAAGTACAAGATGCACAACCTAAATACACAACCCAATGAACCATCAAAGACAAGCAAAAAAGAATTGGTCTAAAATTCCTGGAGAACAGCAGCATGTTGCTAAAAACAGTGACAGCACATGTGAAAATTCAGCGGATGAAGCAAATATGTCTGAAATTGAAGAAACTGAGATGTCTTTCTTGAACACTGCTTTGCTAGGAAGTGCAGCTTGCAAACTTTTATTTAGTGTAGCAGGGCAAATGTTTATGCCAAATGGCACTAGAATAAACATTTTGAGCAGTAGCTGCTATTGATCAATAGCAGCTACTGCTCGAAATGTTCATTCTAATGTTCAATGCTCAATTGAGCATCAATAGATAACTGTTTGCAACCCCCCCCCCCCAGTCTTTTGTAAGAGTTGCATTATTATTTTTAAGAATAATGTAACAAGAGTTGCATAATCATAGAAATAATAATGCAACTCTTGTTGCATTATTATTTAAACTATAAACTGTGAATATTTTAAGAATTTTTCAAAAAAATTTTAAAGCTGGTCATAGTTTTCACATGAGGTTCTCATACTCACATTTTTTTACCTAAATGTTAATGTTTATAGAATTATTTGATTTTGATAAAATTTACCTTTGCAATACTACTTAGAAACTATTCCCAAAGATACATAACATCCATATATTTGAACAATTCAAAATATTAACCAACATAACTATTTATTAGCATGACAAATATTTTGCCAAATAAATAAAAAAATTAAACATTTATTAGCATGTAGAAAAAACGCTAATGAAATTTAAAAGCGTTTAACAAAATTTGTATGGATTATTGAGCAGACTAACATTTTAGAGTTGAAAATTAATTGATTTTGCAATAAACTTTACAGTGACTGTAAAGTTTGTTGCAAAATTTAAATCTGTTAAGTGACTGTAACAATTATTTCATAGTTTAGAAATGATATTTATACCTGCTTTTCCAATACATTTTCTTCTTCACAAAATGTCAAAGATATTGATGAAAAAAATAATAACAATGTTGCTAAACTGAGCATATTGAACGATTCAACACAATTTATATGACAATTGTATTGCCTCTTTGCAATTATGGTATTGCTTTCGAGAAGAGTAGCTTTTCAATGGTTCAAAATGGCCGAATTTTGTGAGCAGTTACCAGGCGACTTTTAAATTAACCAAATTAACCTGGTTTTTATTACTATAACGAAAAAAGTGTACTGAGGAATTTTCATTTTATCATATCTAATTTTTTTCTGGTTACTAATGTTCTTCAAGAGCACCACGGAAAAGTATTTAACTTGAAAGTTCTTACTTCACTCCTTACAAATGTAAGCAAGAAAGTATGAACTTCCTAGTTAATCTCGGATCTCTTGGGTTTGAGCTAGAACTCTATTCACTGCACCACGGCTCCTATTTGCTATTTAATCAAAGGTGTCAGTGAGTGAAGTAGTAATGATTAGATGCAATAAAGATTTTTTTTCTAATATTTTTAGGCCGCTCAAGATTATGTTTCAAAACTAAATTTGTAATAAAATTACTAAATTTCCAGTAAAATGTATGAGTTAAAAACGTTTTATGAAATACGCTTATTATTTATTTGTATTTATTATTATTTTTCATTATTATTTTTATTTTATTTTACTGTTTATTTATAGATTTCGTTTACATCTCACATAAAATTTATATATAAATAATAAAAAGACAGGGTCTCAAAGAAGATATTGGACGCATAACAGCGTCTCTTCTTGTCATAGGTACTAATAAAGTTCGCATATACTTAATAATAAATCGTGTGACAGAACTCATAAATTTTAAATGAAATACAAAGAGTCACCAATAAGTTAAGAAGACATAATACTCAAAATATTATTATTCAAAGGTAATATAAATTCAAATAAAAAACATTGTGGTAATGAATCGGCAAAATTAAAAATATATTTGTTTGAAAGTGAAATGATATAAGTGATTTTGTCATATTTGAATTCTTTTTCGAAAAAGAGTTTAGGTCCATAGCTGGTCCTTAACCACTTAGTTTAGGTCCTTAAATAAAACAGTATAAATACATACAAAACTTTAACTATAAAACAAATTTTTGGTAACAATCTTCCAGCAAATAATTTAAAAAATAAAATAAGACAAAAGTGAAATATTATGAAAGTTATCAATCCTCAAAAAATTGCGTTATGTTTTATTAAAAATAGTGTAATAGTAATAAGTATTTAAGGCTGGTTAATAAATATCAACAAAAGCATAAACAAAAATACAAACAAAAGAAAATGTAATAACTTTAAATGATTTATTTAATTCAAATTGTTTTCAAAATTCAAATTGTTTTCAAAAAAGATATTTATCTAAGTACATATATAAAAAAATATTTATCCATATTTAGAAAATGTCGTTTCGAATCAGCCTTAATACTTTCCAAAGTGCAGTTTAAAACGAACTCAACGTAGTTAATGCAAATCAGTAATTTTGTTTAATACAACTTCTTCTGTTTGTGTTTTAAACCATTTCTTCAAGTTTTTTTGTTTGTTTGTTTATGAAGAATTTTAGACTTTTGTAAAATCTCTTTTTGAAACTCTTTAGGATTCTGCTTAGTCGGTTTGCTTCAAATTATTTTAAATAAAACTAAAAAACGTCCTTAATTTGGACATGATTATAAACCAAAATAGCTAGAACTTTTCCAAAGTGTTTAAGTCTACAAGTTTCATAAAAAAACATGCTTTGTTCATTCAAAAATATGTTTCCACTTAATAAGTAAAAGTAAACAAAAAATTACATGCATGTAATTGTTGCTCTTTTTCTTTTATATCCTTGAGGTACATTCTATTGTCTAAATAAAATGTCTTTTATTTCCTTGAGGAATATTCTATTGTCTAAATAAAATGTCTTTTATTCCCTTGGGGAATATTCTATTGTCTAAATAAAATGTCTTTTATTCCCTTGAGGTACATTCTATTGTTTAAATAAAATGTCTTTTATTCCCTTGAGGAAAATTCTATTGTCTTAATAAAATGTCTTTTATTCCCTTGAGGTACATTCTATTGTCTAAATAAAATGTCTTTTATTCCCTTGAGGAATATTCTATTGTCTAAATAAAATGTCTTTTATTCCCTTGAGGAATATTCTATTGTCTTAATAAAATGTCTTTTATTCCCTTAAGGAACATTGTCTAAATAAAATGTCTTCGCAACAGTTAAATTAATTCCCGTACCGAGCTAAGTCCTCAATTAAAAATAGCATTCACAAGTCTGGAAATTAAAGTTATTATTTCAAAGTTAGGATTCCATAATATACCGTAATTATATTATATTAAAATATATAACATAAATTTTTAATAGACATATTACATTTTAAATAAATTTTGAAAGATTGCTTGTGGTTTACAATAAGATTTTTGGTGTTTTCCCATTAAACAATCTAAATGTTTATCTTGCAGATTTTACGAAAATATCTTGATTGTTTAAATTAAAAACCGATTGACGCCAATTTCTTGAAAAGCATCTTAACTAAAATGAGAAGTCTTGTTTTTCATTAAAAATATGAAGTAAATTTTTTCAAAAAAAGATCCATGATATTGAATTTGGTTTACGTCCGTGCCCATTGGGTATATATATGTATATATATATATATATATATATATATATATATATATATATATATATATATATATATATATATATATATATATATATATATATATATATATATATATATATATATATATATATATATATATATATATATATATATATATATATATATATATATATATATATATATATATATATATATATATATATATATATATATATATAATTCATAAATATATAATTCATAACCCTAATATTAAGATTGGTTATGAAAATAAATAATTCATAAGCCTAATATTCACTTGATAAATATTAAGCATTTAAATATTTAAAGCATCAAGCTGACGTAAGAGAGGTTTGCAGTGTGTCTTTCTGTTTGCCCCAAATATTATCTTACAAGCATGTTTTGTTTGATATAAATTTTTTTGAGTTTGATGTGATTAGTGCTACCCTAGGCTACGTTAAAGTAAGAATGATATCTGTGTATGAACAAAAAATATAGCTTATTTAAAGATTCGTTTAAAAAAAGAGGTTTATTTAATATAACGCGGAAATACTTTTTGAGATCTGAATTTTAATATATTTAATATGAAATTTACATGACAATTTTTCAGCAAAAAATTTTTTCCTGTACCCACTCTTTATGTAAGGGTGCTCTTCTAAAATTTTCAGATCTATGTTGCTATGTTACCACTCTTAATTAGGATAAAGTTCCATTTCAAAATCAGTTATAAAAATGGGGAGGGGTGATAGAAGTTTTAAAATTTTCCAATTAATAAACAACGTCTTTTTCTTTTTTAAGCGTAGTAGTACACACAGGGTATCTGCAATTTTTAATTATTTTAGTTGTTAAACTTTTGTATATTAAAATAACACATGAAATAATATTGGATTGTTAAGGAAATGCAATTTCCTAAAAAGCTTGAATAAAACAAACAAAACTATCTATCTGTATATTAAAATAACTTCTTATTAAAAAGCCACAAAAAAGAGCAGGAAGAAATACAGGAGAAGCACAACAAAAAAGAGTCAAAAAAAGAGTTAAAACGCCCGAACGACGTAAAAGGCAATAAGAGTCAAATAGTTTGAGAGAGTGGTAGCCAGGAGCAGCCGAAACAGAACTCTTCCATCAGTTCATTGTTGATATGAATGCTAAAATTGAAAGCAAACGGTTCTGTATATTTGTTTGAACCAAAAGAATTTACGCGTCAAAAAATGTATTCATTTGCGTAATGCTGTTGCAAATGACGGAAACGCAACCACAATTGGTCAAATGTATATACTTACTGCTTCACATACTGGAAGCCTCGGACATATGCACAATCTGACAGCCAGAGTTTTCAAATAAAAACAATTAAAGCTCATGCATCTCATAATAAAAATACGGCAAAGTGCAATGCTCGATGCTAACGATTGAATAATAAATACCACCCGCTCATATTCTAATTTGGCTTAAAAAAAAAATTTGTTCAACTTTAAATCGGTAGTTTTATATCTGCTGAACTACTTGGTAACGTCAGGCTTGAATTTTTGCAGCAAGTGATACCAAAAGCAATAGAAACTAGGGATGCACCGAAGCTTCGGCTTCGGTTCGGCCGAAGCCATGGGCTTTTTTTGCCAAATCATTGGCTTCGGCAAAATATTTTAAAGTTTCTAAGCATTAAACTTTTTTAAGATTCAAAGCTATATGTTAGAATCTTTAATTACTTTAAAATATTTTTTGGTATGTTACAGTATACTTGGACTTTACGAAGCTGAGGAAGACATTTTTTAAACGACGTCTGTAATCCGAATAAAACGTAGTTGAACGTTCAAAATACTTCTTTTTCTTTTCGTCTTGACTAAATAACGGCTGCTTAATGAGAAATTTAAATAAGCTTCTGGTCTATACAGTTGTGAAGATTAAATGAATCCAGCAACGGCTTTTGGAGGTGGCAAGGCTGTGTGTAGGGCAGCCAAAAACATAGCGGATAGAAAGTAAAGTTACTTAATGAAACGCATTGATTTTTTTTATAATCACTCAATATAAGCTGATTTAAACTGTAACATTATAGTAAACTTTTTATAATTAAATACCATAACCCTAATATTTAGTTATGATCACTCAAGCTTAGCAATAAAATTTATTTATGCATTAGTTGGTAGTAAAATAATAAAAAATAATTAAAATTTAATTTTTTTAGCATTTAGTAATTAGTTAACATTAACTTCTAAAATCCGAGTTATATTAAATTATATATTTTTTAATATTAAATTAAAATTAAAAATTAAACCTGGAAATAAATCTTCATTTGAAATTACTTAGATGTAACTAAAACCTCCGGATTTTAAGTAACAAAAAACATAGCGCACGAGAGTTGAGAGAGTTAACTATTCTCGAAATTTTTAAAAATCTATACAAATAAGTTGATTTTAACGCACGAAACAATTTTTATTTAGAAAGTTTGTTTTACTAAGTCTTAATACACAGAAAAGCACAATTGAAATATAAGTCAATTGCGTTTGTTTTTGATTTTGTACGTTGTATCATTAGTAAAAGTAAATATACCTGCTCTACAAATATAGGTTAATTGGTTATTTA